CCTTTGAAGACCTCGGAGTCCTTCGGGCGGACCGTGTCGAAGCGCTCTCCTTTGATAACTCCGTAATCCTGCTGGTTGACCGTCTTATCAGTGAATGAACCATCTCCTTTGAAGACTTCGGAGTCCTTCGGGCGGACCGTGTCGAAGCGCTCTCCTTTAATAACTCCGTAATCATGATGGCTGACCGTCTTATCCGTGAACGAACCATCTCCTCTGAAGACCTCGGAGTCCTTCGGGCGGACCGTGTCGAAGCGCTCTCCTTTAGTAACTCCGTAATCATGATGGCTGACCGTCTTATCCGTGAACGAACCATCTCCTCTGAAGACCTCTGAGTCCTTCGGGCGGACCGTGTCGAAGCGCTCTCCTTTGATAACTCCGTAATCATGTTGGTTTACAGTCTCATCAGTGAATGAACCATCTCCTCTGAGGATCTCTGAGTCCTTCGGCCGAACCGTGTCGAATCGTTCTCCCTTAACAATCGTAAAATCTTGCTGGTTCATGGTCTTATCCGTGAATGAACCATCTCCTCTGAAGACTTCGGAGTCCTTCGGGCGGACCGTGTCGAAGCGCTCTCCTTTAGTAACTCCGTAATCATGATGGCTGACCGTCTTATCCGTGAACGAACCATCTCCTCTGAAGACCTCTGAGTCCTTCGGGCGGACCGTGTCGAAGCGCTCTCCTTTGATAACTCCGTAATCATGTTGGTTTACAGTCTCATCAGTGAATGAACCATCTCCTCTGAGGATCTCTGAGTCCTTCGGCCGAACCGTGTCGAATCGTTCTCCCTTAACAATCGTAAAATCTTGCTGGTTCATGGTCTTATCCGTGAATGAACCATCTCCTCTTAGGAGCTCGGAGTCCTTCGGGCGGACCGTGTCGAAGCGCTCTCCTTTAGTAACTCCGTAATCATGATGGCTGACCGTCTTATCCGTGAACGAACCATCTCCTCTGAAGACCTCTGAGTCCTTCGGGCGGACCGTGTCGAAGCGCTCTCCTTTGATAACTCCGTAATCATGTTGGTTTACAGTCTCATCAGTGAGAATCGAAACCATCTCCTGCTTGAGGCATCTCTGAAGTCCTCGGCCGAACCGTGCTCGAATCGCCTCTCCCTTAAACAATCGTAAATCTTGACCTGTTCCATGGTCTTACCCGTGAATGAACCATCTCCTCTGAAGACTTCGGAGTCCTTCGGGCGGACCGTGTCGAAGCGCTCTCCTTTAGTAACTCCGTAATCATGATGGCTGACCGTCTTATCCGTGAACGAACCATCTCCTCTGAAGACCTCTGAGTCCTTCGGGCGGACCGTGTCGAAGCGCTCTCCTTTAGATAACTCCGTAATCATGATGGCTGACCGTCTTATCCGTGAACGAACCATCTCCTCTGAAGACCTCTGAGTCCTTCGGCCGAACCGTGTCGAATCGTTCTCCCTTAACAATCGTAAAATCTTGCTGGTTCATGGTCTTATCCGTGAATGAACCATCTCCTCTGAAGACCTCGGAGTCCTTCGGGCGGACCGTGTCGAAGCGCTCTCCTTTAGTAACTCCGTAATCATGATGGCTGACCGTCTTAATCCTCGGTGGCGAAACGAAAACCACTCCTCTGAAGACTTCTAGCCTTCGGCGCGAACCGTGTCGAATCGCTCTCCCTTAACAATCGTAAAATCTTGCTGGTTCATGGTCTTATCCGTGAATGAACCATCTCCTCTGAAGACCTCGGAGTCCCTTCGGGCGGACCCGTGTTCGACAGCGCTCTCCTTTGCATAACTCCCGTAAGCCTGCTGTTGACCAGTCCATTATCAAGTGATACCTGAACCATTCCCTGCGACACTCTGAGGATCTCTGAGTCCTTCGGCCGAACCGTGTCGAATCGTTCTCCCTTAACAATCGTAAAATCTTGCTGGTTCATGGTCTTATCCGTGAATGAACCATCTCCTCTGAAGACTTCGGAGTCCTTCGGGCGGACCGTGTCGAAGCGCTCTCCTTTAATAACTCCGTAATCATGATGGCTGACCGTCTTATCCCGGTTGAACGAACCATTCTCCTCCTTGCCCATAGACCTCGGAGTCCTTCGGGCGGACCGTGTCGATCGTTCTCCTGCTCCCTCCTTAAACAATCGTGAAATTCTTGCTGGTTCTTATCGGTCCGTTATCAGTGACATGAACCCATCTCCTCTCCTTTACCCGTGAGCTCTCGCTAGTTCCTTCGGCCCGAAACGCGTGTCGAATCGTTCTCCCGCAACCCTCAAAACAATCGTAAAATCTGCAGTGGTTCATGGCTCTTTATCCGGGACATGCAACCATCTCCTCCTCGAAAGACCTCGCGAGTCCTTCTCGGGCGGGACCGTGTCGAAGCGCTCTCCTTAGAACTCCGTAATCGATGATGGCCCTGACCGTTCTTATCTCCGTGACAACACTCTCTACTGAAGACCTCTGAGTCCTTCGGTGCGGACCGGTCGCAAGCGCTCTCCTGTTGATAACTCGTAACTCTGCTGCGTTGACGTTTATCAGTGACCATGAAACCATCTCCTCTGAGGATCTCTGAGTCCTTCGGCCGAACCGTGTCGAATCGCTCTCCCTTAACAATCGTAAAATCTTGCTGGTTCATGGTCTTATCCGTGAATGAACCATCTCCTCTGAAGACCTCGGAGTCCTTCGGGCGGACCGTGTCGAAGCGCTCTCCTTTGATAACTCCGTAATCATGTTGGTTTACAGTCTCATCAGTGAATGAACCATCTCCTCTGAGGATCTCTGAGTCCTTCGGCCGAACCGTGTCGAATCGCTCTCCCTTAACAATCGTAAAATCTTGCTGGTTCATGGTCTTATCCGTGAATGAACCATCTCCTCTGAAGACCTCGGAGTCCTTCGGGCGGACCGTGTCGAAGCGCTCTCCTTTGATAACTCCGTAATCATGATGGCTGACCGTCTTATCAGTGAATGAACCATCTCGTCTTAGGAGCTCTGAGTCCTTCGGCCGAACCGTGTCGAATCGCTCTCCCTTAACAATCGTAAAATCTTGCTGGTTCATTGTCTTATCCGTGAATGCACCATCTCCTCTGAAGACCTCGGAGTCCTTCGGGCGGACCGTGTCGAAGCGCTCTCCTTTGATAACTCCGTAATCATGATGGCTGACCGTCTTATCCGTGAATGCACCATCTCCTCTGAAGACCTCGGAGTCCTTCGGGCGGACCGTGTCGAAACGTTCTCCTTTGATAACTCCGTAATCATGATGGCTGACCGTCTTATCCGTG